GCAGAGGCTGCATAGCTGTGTTAATGCATCACTGTCTAATTTACCCCTTCCTTCCTGAAGAAACTAGGCTAGATATATACTGGTTTTGTATGGAGAAAGATTATGCAGCACAGATGCAGTGTTTAAGGTGTGTGCATGTTTTTAATGCTTGGCTGTTGGATTTAAGATTTTATTAAATTTTCTTTCTGTTCTGTCTCCCTACCTGTAATTTTCCACATACATTCTATTTAGGTATTTACTGATTTCTAAGAACTTGCTGCCATTTGCTTACAAAGTAAATAATGTATGAAAATTTCTATGGAAGTTCAGATGCATTTCATTTGTATTTTATAAGCAAAGAACCTAAAGACAAAGCTATGATTCAAAATTTCTATGATGATATGATAGAATGAACCTTAAATTGAATAGAATACTTTTATTTAAGTCCAGATTCATTAATATACCAGAACAACATATTTAAATTGAGTTTAAATCTATCTTGCATCACTGGAGCAGTGCAAATCGGAGAAAGCACACTAGGGAATCAAGGCCTTATGTCAGTTTGGTCGAGGCACAGGTTACATGGTGGCTGGGCAGGAGGAGCAGAGCAGACCCCGAGTTCATCTGCTTGTGTGCTTTAAGCATTCCCCAAGGTCCCTGCCACAGTCACACCGCTTGGCTGCTTCCTCTGTGCGCGCTAGGGACAGCAGCGATGCCAAGGAAAACCTTTTGAGAGCAAATACCTGACTTCAAGCAGAGACACAAAATCTCCGTAGAAAACCTCTCTGAAATGGTTAACTTTCCAGAGAATCAGAGTGAGGCACGCAGGCAGCTCACTTCCTCAGACCCTCTGTAGCCAAGACCTGCAGAGGTGCCAAACTGAAGGGCTGAGCTGCTTTGGAGGGTTCAGCGGACCACCAGGAGCCAGAGCAAAGCTACTCACACAACTCTACTCACAGCCTGTATAGCCACAGCCATTAGCTATGACCACCAATAGATAAACTTAATTACAACTTAATCTATTCATTTGTTTTTATGCCCTATGCACAAGCTTTTAATTAATTAATGGTATGGAAAGTTTGATTGCATTATTACATTATAAAAACTACGTAGAACAAAGGGTATGTCTACAGGAATGCTAAATTTTGTGAAGGATTTAGTCTGTAATGAATTCTAGCTCAAGCCAATTAACACATGAATTTTATGTTCTTAGAAAACTCATCCTGTATTCACAGAATACGCACTACTAGTATGATAGGGATTTATTTTTCACTAAAAATGCTGAAATCTCGGTACTAGTTCAAAATAAATCCCTGACATGATGAAGATATGATCAGGAGGGCGCTAATGGAACTGTAATGAACATCTCTGTAAGAGCTAATGCTGTTTCACTTAGTACACTTCTGGTGTATTCATAAGGACCTCCATATGTTCATACTTAAAGGCATGCTTGTGAAGCATACAAGTAAGAAAGTGCTATTTAAAAGTACTAGGATTGTAAAATTTATTTAAGATAATGTGTTTTTAGTGAACAGAAATGTATATACCTGATAGATATAACTACATATTTATACGTTTTGCTACATGTACAGGCACAGACACATATATGCTGCTTGTAAGTGGAAAATCTGACTGGTTAAGTCTGCGACTGCCTGAAATTCCACCTATCCTGTCTCCATAACAATACCATTCAGCCTCTCTTTTTTTAGTCTTTTGGGAGGTTTCATCCCAGGTTTCCAGCATTTCATTTTATGTGAAGAATTTCACAACTCAGATGTTTCTACCCTTCTCTACTTCATCACATTCTGCTGTGGATTTTGTTGCTCCAAGTTGTGTCTGCTGCCAAATTAAAACTGTGAGAACTTCTGTGTCTTTGGGTCCAGGTTGTGCTTTTGTAGCTCTCTGATCTCTTACTCCTTTAATATTCTTATGACAAAATCAAAAGAGGGTCTACCACTGAGATCAGGGAAGTATTCTGCAATGTTGGTCTGATCAATACCTCCTCAAGCAGGACTAAACTCAGGAGTATCCTTCTGAAGAAGAATTTGTGTTATAGCTCCTTAAAAATCAGCTACATTTTATGGGACATTTAAACTTTCCCTTTGAAACTGTGCATGTTGTTCAACATGCACATCCTTATAATGAACATTACACAGAACAATTAGAAAATGATGCTACTTCAAATGGAAAGAGTATATATATATATATATATACACATATATATATGTATGTATATGTCTCCTGACATATAGCTTGCATTTTGTATTTAATATAGTTGTTAAAAAATAAGAATTGCAGTTAAGAATAAAATATTTCATCTTCTTTTCAGGGTAGGTAGAAAACTGCATTGGGATAGGGAATTTTTCACCAAGATGTCAGTCAGATTTCAGTTGAAATCAATAATGCAGGGAGTATTTTTCAACAGACAGCTTCTCAGTAGCCTTCTTGAAGGGAGTTCATGGGTTCAGAGCAATTCTTTGTGCATAAATGTCCATGTTGCATAACAAGAAGTAGAATAACTATTCTTATCTGTAGATTTCAAGATAAAGACCGAGGGCTGAGTACAGCTTTACACTCCTAGGCAGGCCTCTCGGCTGTAGGTAAAATGAAATGAAGGGACCTGACCTGCCAGCACTGTATCTGCTCTGGTTTGACAGGACAGTCCTGGCACCTTACATAGACACAGTATGTGCCTCGTGTCACATACAAAAGCTAAAGGAGCACTGAGTGAAATTACCAGGCAGCAGGTTCATAGAAAAAAAAAAAGGAAGTACTTTTTCACACAAATCGTAATTAAATTGTGGTGCTCATTGCCACAGAACGGGGTTGAGACCAAAGCATAAACAGATTTTTAAAAAGGGAGTAGGGAAACTCAAAGTTTATTAAAAATGATGGTCTGAGAGCAAACTCCAGTTCAAGAAATACATGTTCTATGTGTTGCTGAAACTTGAAAGGATACGCCAGGAAAAGATCCCTGTATGCCAGTCCTGTTTCTTACGTTTTTCTCCCTTCAGCGTCTGCTAATGACTGTAGTCAGAGCCAGGATATTGGACTAGATGTGCAACTCACTATAGCAATTTATTTGATCGTATTCTTTTAATTAAATTATGTTCTTATTTTGGCTACTTAAAAGGATCTAAGGCCTTGATGGAGAAAGGCATTTAAATGCCTTAATGCTCACGTTATTTCAGGGAGGCAAGTGCTTGTGTGCATCATAGCATTTGCGTCTTGGGCCATAAACTTACTGGGGTGGGGCTCACTCACCTTTTATTAGGACTTTTCTTTTTCTGGGTATGAGCTAGTATAAAAATATGTATTTGACAACAGTGATAACAGTGTGCAACACTGTTTCTCTATAAAGGTTAAATAGTTTGTTTGCCTAAATGGATTGTGCTACAGGTAAATTTCCCAGTTATTTATGTAAGGATGATGACACTAGCATCCACTGATGTGGAAAAGAATCAACTTCCTTTTTAGAACTCCCCACATTTGCAATGCATGAATATTACATTTGTAGGAAGCTGTTATATTTTTTTACCTGTTATCCATAATAGTATTACCAGCCAATACGTATACGTAACTTACTTATACTAACCTAGAAGGGTATTTCAGATTTCATCCATTTTGCAAAAGCATCTGGCCGCAAACCTATGACACACGTTGGTGAAAATCCAGATACAGAGATGAAGAAACCGAATACCGAAAACCATAAATTTCACCCCTGCTGTTTCTGAGCCTGACAGCACCAGTAAGGTTTCCTTCTAAATCAACAAGAAGGGATAGACATGAACGTTAGGCTGGCAGCCGAGCAAGCGAGGCAACCTCGCCATTCTCAATTGCGGGCGGTTTCATCCCGAGCAGAGGCGCAGCCCCGCAGGAGCAGCACACGGCGGCTCTCTGGGCAGCGGCACGCATCCCCGCCGCAGCGAGCGCGGCTGTTTCCCCGGCGGCGCAGGGAACCCCGCTCCGCTCGGGGCCGCGCCGCTGTCCCGCGCTGCTCGGAGCCGGGCACGGCGCACCGGGAGCATCCCTGCCCCGCCCTGCCACCTGCTCCTCCCGCGGCCCCCGCCCGCCTCCCGCCGGCATCGCCAGGGGAGGGGCGGGAAGGAGGCCGGGGCACGGGGATGGCGGTGCCGCAGGGTACGGCGGGCGGGGGAGGCTGGGTGCCGCCCGGGGCTCCCCGGCCGCGGTCCGGCCCGGCCCGGTGGGGCAGCCGAGAAAGGGGGCAGAGGGAGGGAAGGATGGGAAAGCAACTCCTCATCTTAGAGCAACGACTCGCTGTTTCACCCTCACCTTCCGCCGGCTCCTCAGATTGAAATAACAACAACAATAACAATAATATTAACAAAAATTACACCGCCTCCCCTCGCGCGAAGCAGACCCACGTTACAGGCAGGGGAAGGTCAAGAGGAAAGACAGGAGGACCGCTGCTTCCCTCCGATCTGGCGGCTGTCACACCGCCAGCCCGTGCCCCCGGCTTCCCCGGGGCCGGCCCAATCCCTCCCCTGTCCGGGCTGGGCAGCATCGCCCGGCGCGGAGGATGCCCCGCGGCATCCCCAACACAACCGGGGGGCGGCGGAGGTGGGGGGCGCGGGTAGATCCCGGCTACACCTCTCCCCACCCCTTTGTGCATCGTGGGCGCGCACACACACACACACACACACACACACACACGCATACACACTCTCCACCTTGCAACCTCGGCGCCGAAGCCGCCCGTTGTTACACACACACACAGGCACCCTTACACACAGCCTGTCCCCCCGGTGAATACATTTTCTGTTGCACTCTACTGCCTGCCTGCCTGCCATCCATCCATCCGTCCGTCCGTCCGTCCATCCATCCATCCATCTATCCATCCTCTGGTCTCCCTCCTTCCTTTTCCTTTTCCCCCCCCACATCCCTCCTTTTGGTCGGTGTGGTTTTCCCCCCCCACACACACACCCTTCGCATCACTATCAAGCAGACATTTTGGTGCCGTTTATCACGGTGCAGGCTGAAATAAGCGCGGAGCTCCTTACCCACCCCCGCCCGGCTGCGTGCAGTTGGCGCTGAGCGATCCCGGCAAGGGCTGCTACGGCTCGTCCCCTAGCGCAGCTGCTTCGCTGCCATCCGCCCAACTTCAGCACCCAGCCGGCGGGGAGAGGGAGGGAAGGAGGGAGGCGGCGGCAGGCAGGGAGGGAGGCAGGGAGGGAGGGGGGCAGAGAGAGAGAGAGGGAGAGGGAGAGAGGGAGAGAGGGAGAGGGAGAGGGAGAGAGGGAG